CTGGTCTTATTTATTCATTAAAATTAAAAGAAAAATTTTTTTTTTTTAAAATCTGTGTTTGCCTTTACTCTTAAAGATCAGGGTAGCAAGGAGCAGTTGTGGCATGCTCTAACTCAGCACACATGCTGACATTCCTTTACAATATGCACAGTTTATTAAATTTTAAAAAGTTATCTCTTTCCATTTCAAAGTTCTTCTGAGCTAATGTGTTTACCTTTTCTTTCCCCTCACTGTGGAGTATCTTCACTATCAAATCATGTATGCTTTCTCTGTCACTTGTTAAAGTGATTCTTTAGACTCATGTTCAGCCTCCCTCTACTTCTTTTTTGTCCTCGTTCCTCAAGTTTTTAAATTAGGTTTTTTGATTTTATTTTTCAGTTCTGTCTGTCTGTCCAGAGATGTTAAACACTTGTTATTTAGTTCTTTATCAAATCTTTACATAAAATTCTAAATCCTTATCAATAATTTTAAAAATTCCTATAAAAATGATAGTGATGCAAATATGCAACACCCTGAAGGTTCAACCCTAGCCTTTGCTTCTCAAAAACAGCCACAGTAAATATTAAAATGCACAGCTAAAAAACATTAATTGCTGTAGCAAAACATTAATTGTCACTGTACCAACACCCAAAAGCATGCATACATTTGTACTCTGACAATATCTGTGGTTCCTTTGGTCTATACAGACAGTCACACAGACTCACACAAATTCATAGGAGTCTTTGCAGAGATAATGTTGAGAGCTGCAGCTGAAATGCATTTACTTCAGGATTAGCACAGACATCTCTCCATGATTGTTTTGAACTTTATTTGTGTGTGGATGTTGTCCAAAAAGGGAACAGAAAAATCGCAGCCAGTTCACCCAGTGCTGCCAAATCTGCTGTAGTGGGGACCCCTAAAATTGGGCTGTCCCGCAGGGTGGGGACAGATGCAATGCAAAAGTGTGGCTCTAACTTGTCTTCCAGTTTGGTGTGAAGTAAGAGCTGCCTCACGTTAACAGAGAGCAATGTGTCGATAACTATTTGAGTTCCAGGGAAGCAATGTGGTCAGACTCCATATTTGGTACTCCTCTGTTTGCAGAAAGGAGCAAATCCCCTGGGACAGGTTCCCATTATTCCCCAGTGCCGTTAGCAAGCTGTCCTGGCAGGGCAGCGACAAGCGTGCCATGGCTCTGCTTTAGGAAATCCAACCCATTTTGTATCAGCTCTCCTGATTTTTTTGGGAATCATGTGATTTAGGTAGAGCCAGAGCAAGCATAGCAGGCCCTTCTATCAAGTCCCAGAAAAATCACTTGCAAACAATTCATAGAAACTGTTCACTGAGCAATTTCAAATAATGAACATACCAAATAAAGTGTCAGCAGGGAGCTGCTCGTGCATAATTTGGGAACAGGGATAATTGTTCAGCGTGATTGAATAAATTGTTTGCTGTGCACAGTTTAGATAACTTTAATGGCAAACAATTTTACTCTGTCCTTATACCTCAGGATCATGTACCCTTTAGATAAACATCTACGTCTGTTAAACTTTGAATACTTTGACTGATTATTTTAGAAAAAAGTTGGCTCCTGGCTTTAAGCTGGCAAGAATCAGTTACTATACTATTAGTCAGATACCTGGAAGCCCTGGAATGTGGTGTTTTACATCTTGGATTCAAACAAAAAGAATACAAGCCTCCTTGTATTAACCGGAGACACCCTTCCTGCAGGTCTTGCATTGGAAGAATTGCCTGACTATACATCAGAAAGTGTCTGTCAGAGGGCCTGAGGTAAACGTGCACTGGGATGCACATAATCCTGTTAAATAAACCTCCAGAATACTAAAGAGCTGGGAGAGTATTTGTCATTTACCATCTCTTCTCTACAGACTTCCTTCCAATAAAACATAATTCTTGAGGATGCTTTCAGGCAAAACCCATATAAATAAATTTTCTGCAGAAAATGTGTGTGATTTTTCAGTTATACGGCACAAAGTTTCAGCAAGTGGGATGGGATTTGCTGGTGTATTTCATCCCACTCCAGACAGTTGTCAAATACACCCAGGATGAATTGCTTTCTAAAGGAGCCCACTTACAGACCGTATGGAGGGAATTTAAAAGATTAGTTTAGAGTAGATGCTGAGTACGCTTCCTGAAACTATAAATGGAAACATTTCATAGATCTTACCATTGTCTGAAAATAGCCCTGTCAGCCTGGCACATCTGGGATCCTGAATACAAAGCATTTGTTCTCTTTAGTGAAAACTTTGCCTAAAAAAGGCTGTGACATTGGGCTCTCATTTGGAAGAGGCACAGTGCTTGCAGTTTCATGAAAAGTTTCTTCCTCATCTGCTTAACAAAGTTTTCCTTTAAGTTTATCTAAGCTAAACTGAGAGACAGGAGAGGGTGGTTCAGGTCTCAGCTGTGCCTCTGAACTCCTGCCTGTCCTCTTCTGAGGTCCAACACCTTCCTGTATTATCAGCAGGATGATATTTTCCCTGGAATACAGAGGAAAAGGCAGGCACCAAGAGATTAAAGTATACTGTTGAGGATCACAAAGCTGGTTGCTGGAGATAAGGGACAAGACTGAGCAATTTGCAACACCCATGTGACATTTTCTACTGTGGACTATTACTGTGAAAAATAACTGTATGATTGGAGAAGTACTTAAGCTATCAAGAATCTAATAGCAGAAGAAGGGGAAGAAGCCTTCATCAATGAACAGCTGTAACACCATTAAACCTGTCTCTGCTAATAAAATGCATCAATTCAACACAAATCTCCAAAAATTGATCTGTCTGTCCAAAGTCAATTCCTCATTCCGTGTAAATGCAAACAGTTTTTATTTCTTGCTTCTGTCAGATTATTTTATATTAGCAGACTTCAAAGAACCTACAGCTTGTTGACAAAGGTAGGTTAAAGCAATCTTTACAGTGATTTAGCAGTAGGACATTAATTAAATTAAACCAGCCCACTCTCCTACATTACATAAGACCTTATTTTAAGGGGATAAATTCCACTGAGTACTTTTTACTTAGAGAATGCTTGTTATCTGTATAGGTAATGTTCTCTAATATTACCTGTAAAACTAAGGGCCAATAATCCATTATACAAAATTAATGCCAGTGTTTCCTCTGTTAGGAAAAGTTTTTCTTCTATGCACAGGTGCACACCACAGCCCACGACTAGAGTCTGTCAGAGCCATGTCTATGTGCTCCACCTGCTTATGGTCTTCCTGCAGAGACAGGATATAGGGGCATCTCTCAGCTCCTCTCCCATTTCCCTCTTCCTGCTGACAGCTGTACTGGTAGATGCCACCACCTCCATGTAGTCTTGGTTTTTACTGCCCTGCTGCAGAGAGGAAATGGCATTTAATCATGAATACATATGAAGATCCCAAGAGACTAGCTGCAATCAGGACAAAGCTCTACAGTGTCACATGGCCGCAAATATTATTAGTTTGTTGCCAAGCTTTTCTAACAAACTTTCTTTTTTTTTTTTTTCTTTTTTTTTTTTTTTTATTTTGCATTGGGCTAGGCACATGCTGTTTACCACCAAGGCTTCCCACAAAATTGGAGAAGACCTAGGGGGTAATGAGAAAGGTAAAAAGATTTTATAAAAGACACAACTGGTAGAACAAACTGTGCTTCATGTTCAGTAACATGCTAGAAAAGGCTTACACATCAGTTTGGATTGGGGTAGGAACTCTCTGACGGGCTGCTTTGTGCAGCTTTTGGACGCTACTTGGCTTTGCTCCAGCAGGCATAGCTGAATGCTGTCAATCTCAAACACATGCTAGATACTATCACTCATGACCATCCCTGTAGCCATGCTATCCTGACTCGTTCTTCCTACTCTTTTTCCAGCTCACTTACTCTGCATAACTCAGGAAAGACAAGGTACATCCATGAAAATGGCTGGCCAGTCAGAGAAAACAGTTCCAAATCAAGTCCCTCATAATTATTTCATAATATATTTTTGAAAATCAGATCTTACACAAGGCAGCAGGATGCATAAAACTTATGTTCATTTGGCACACATTCCTGAAGAGATCCTGATCTCCTGTCCAAGGTGCAAAACCGAGAATAACTGTGACAAAGGCAGGGCCTCCCCGGACACATGTGTTGTGTACATGTTTAACTGTTACTTCAGAAACATGTTGGGATCCTGTATGTTTTCCAAAAATATTTAAGAATAATGCTGACCATATGCTCTTCGCTGCTGAAAAGCCCGCTTTGTAGCTAGCTCATCAGAATATATTGAAAGGGTTTTTCTGCTTTGGCAGTCCTCATTTATCACTGACGGTGAGGTTTTGAGGTGGGCTGGAATGCCTTTCATCACTGAATGCTACTCATCAGCCTCCTGGGGATGAAGGCACGCTCGGTGACTGCTTCTCCCGTCCTGCAAGACTGGTAGCGCCCGCGGGGGCTGGACAGGACATGGGCAGAGCCGACGCCAACATGCGGGGAGGGTCATGTCCCGCTTCGGAAGCACGCCGTTTCTGGGAGCTGTCAAACTGCCACACGAGCAAACTTGGTGACATCTCTTAAACATCACCAAGCAACCACAGCAGGTGCCGAGCTGAGAAGAGCAGTTTTACAAAGGCTGCTGCGGCTCCTTGACACACCATGTAGGGGCAATACCGCTTGCCCCAGGTTTAGGGGAGAATTCAGCCTTTCTAATTTTAACCACACAACAGCTGGGCAGGCTGCCCGGGCGCGGGCTCCGGCTGCACCTCTGCGCGGTGCCTCTCCCCACCTGTTTGGTGCGCCTCGGCTGCGCGCTGCCCGGCAGCCACAGGCCCCGGCCTGGGCGGGGGTGCCCGGGGTGATGCTCCCAGGGGTGCCCGGGCTGACGCTCCCAGGGGTGCCGGGGTGATGCTCCCAGGATCGCGGGGCCGGGCCGCTCCCGCCCTCCCGGCGCGCCCGCGGCCCCGGGCCCGGCGGAGGCGCCTGCGCGCTGCGGCCGCTCGGTGCCGGCCCCGCTGGCGCCGCCCGCAGCTCCCGCGGCTCCTCTGCCTATTTTAGTCACAGCCGCGGCTCCGTGCCCGCCGCGGGACCGCCAGCCTCGGGCTGTTGCCGTCCTGTCCGGGCGGCCCGGAAAGTTTTCCGCGGGGCAGGTGAGGGGCGCTCCTCCGTGCGCGGGCGGCGGCGGGAGCAGCATCGGCGGGTCCCGGGGTGGGCGCCCGGAGCCGCCCGGCCAGCGGGGAGAACGCGCCGTCCTGTCCCTGGTCCCTCGTTCCCTTCGGTCGCCCTCCTGTGCCCTGCCCGCGGGGAGGAGGGACGGGTTGCCGCTTTCGAAGCGGTCCTTTTGGGGGAAAAGGGACCGGTTGCTCGACCCTTTTCAATTTTTAAAAATTATTTTCAGCATTGTTTCGTACGAAGGGTGGGTTTGGCGTTCGCCCGTCGGGGGCTGAAACGAAGCTGCGGAGCGCAGAGCGGGGCTGCGGGCTGGCACTGCGGGTCCGTCTGCGAGCGCTGAAAGCAGAAGGGAGAGGCAGCCCCAGGGCACGCACAGCCCCCGTCCGCTCCGCTGCGGGCCGCGCTGCCGCGGGGGAAGGTTTTCTCGCCGTGTGGATACTTTGTTGACTATGAAGAATGAACGTGTTGTTGCATTTTCTCTTGGGTAACAAATTTCTGTAGTTACTGACGTGTTTAATTGGATGTGACTTGCTGCAAAGAGCATACTTTCTTATAGCACTTTCCTATTCGTTCCTACTGCATTGTAAAAGAGGAGATTGGTAATTTAAACTGTGATTAACTCAGCTATGCTTCCTCTAGTAGTAAAAAATATCTATGCAGCTTCTGTGCTGTAAATCCATAGAAAAGTAGTTTAAAGTTCTGCGGCTATAATTAATTTTTTTTTTTATTGCATTGACTGTAAAGTTATAGAAACATACTCAAGTAAAGATTTAAAGAGCTCACTTGAATAATGTTGACCAGTAAAGCTGTGGGATATGAATAATCTCAGTAAAGTGGGTAATGACACAAGTGGGACACTCAGCACTGTCCTGTGTCAGCTTGGCTGACTGATTCTCATAGTAGAACCAAATGCTTTACAATTTTCTGCTATGTCTGTCTTCTGTGAATGTTGATTAGCTATCCATATAATTCACTCTTTTTTTTAAAGCCATCTTGGTGCCCAAATATTTGTAGACTAAATCTTTCGGCAATGCTTTTCAGAAGTTTGGTCTCTTGTATAAAGCTGTTGAGTATAGCAGAATCCTAGAGTAAGCTCACCTCGTTTATTTTCTGAGAATTTGTATTTTCTGACCTAAGATCACCAAGTATTACCTCAACTTTGTATCAAGTTCATGCACAAAAAAATATTTAATAACTTTTTTTTTTAAGCTACAGTAACTTCTGTTAGGTTCAAAATTAAGTTTTTCTTTTTTTTCTTTTTCTTTTCTAAAAATAAATTTTTTTTTTTTTTTTTTTTTTTTTTTTTTTTTTTTTTTTTTTTTTTTTTTAATATATCCTATTTTTTCCCCTCCTGTTTGAACAACAAATTGGCTTGAGTTCTCAATCATCTGAATTTTCAAATTCTTGTTTTGGTAAATCTGACTCCATATGATGGATATATACTGGATATTAAAAAATGCTCTTTTAATGATTTGTCTTATGTCCCATAAGGCTTTCATTTCAGTGGATGCTATTTTACCCCAACTTTCCAAAATTATTTGACTATGTTAGTTGTTTTTTTAACTTCTGATATTAATACGTATCTTTGCATTGAAGACTTAAGCATATGACTAAATATTCTTGTGCTATATTAATCCTGAGTAGACATAATTAAAGTTTTAAAGGCCTGAATCTGTACTTCCAAATTAATTTTTGGCTTTCTGCGGTCACATAAGGTAAAAAATGATAATTGCTTGCTCTTTTGTGGAATTGCAGACTTTTCCCTCATTCTTCAGTATTATTTGGCAACAGTAGGTGCTAGGAAAGAACTGATCTAAAAATTACAGTGATGTTGTTTTTTGACGTTTTGGATATTTGTCTTTCTGGTGTTACCTGTAGACAAACACTTTAGGTCACAGCTTTAGCTCTGCCTGTGTGCCTTTTCTCCTGATCCCCAAAGCAGTCTCCATAATTGAAATTCAGAGCCCTTATCTAAGTCTGTCCTTGTGTCATTTTGCAGATAGCATCAATCTATTTCTGTCAGCTTTTTAATACCACCATGATGGAGAAGTTCTCGTTTCTGCTGGTTCCAGTACGTCAGGGGAGCTGTAATTATTGTTTGTGAGTAGTAAGTGAAGTTCAAAGGTATTCATATAAAGACTTTGAGGTAGTAAAGACAAAGTTTATAAAAAACTGGAGGTGGGCAGATTTAGGCTCTCGGGATTCTAATTGAGGCAATCTAGTAGGGAAACCTGACCTTCAAAAGTGTTAAACGTCCTCTTACAACTGTGGATGCATTAAATTGCTTGATCAACACTTGCAGAAACTCCTTCCATTATTTTAGCTTATGGCTGGTGATTTGTTGCATGAGTCTCTGGAAGAGCAAGGGGAGCAGTGTTTTGGCTGTGCTGCAAGGAGAATGAGATTGTCAGGTTCTGCATATTTAATTTGGTTCATTGGGTTTCCAGTCTTCTTATGTGTGATGCTTTAGAGCTGAAACGAAAGGGTAAGGGAGCCTCTATTCCCACAGCGGAGCAGTACAGAATTTTGCTAATAAAAATTATCAAGCATCTGGAAGGCTGCTTTGATCTGTGATCAGATTCAACTGAAACTACTTTTTGCAGCCTCTTTTGATGTTGAGTTGAAGGACTTATGCCTGGTTCTGTATCTGTGTGTGAGTTTCGTTGTTTCTACTTTCTCTGTGTGTTTCATTGTTTCTACTTTCTCTGTGTGTGAGTTTCGTTGTTCTGTTGGCATTTTAAGTGGTGCCTTTGCTGGCACGTGACTGGGCAGTAAAAGGCTGAATATAGGTAGAAACTCACCCAATTATTTTTTTTAAGATCTAGAGATCCTGCTGTTCTAGTGTAAGGAGTTTGTATTGTTTGGAAACAACAGGAGCCCCAGATGAGCTGTGTGTAAGATGAGCACAGACATAGTTATCCAGTTAGCAATTCCCTCCTGTTTATGAGCCCGTTAAAATGCCAGTCCTGCAGCCTCTCATGGGCTCAGGCTTTGGCTCACTGTGTGAGAGGCTTTGTCAGGACAGTGAAACTGCTCTAATGACTCTCTTGATGAACTCGTGTGAAAGAGCTGAACGAAAGTAGAAGTGTATTTGAATAGGGCTGATGTTTGCTAATAGTGGGGGCTATGACAAGCCCCCACATTTTAATTAATCTTTGTGAATAACTAATGTAGGAATGAAAAGAGGAAAGTGATGTCTTAAGAAATAAGTGAATTGTGTATTTTGGATTAGATATTTAGGATTATTTTTGGTTTTTTTTCCTTGAAAATAATTTCAAACCAGATATAGATACGCCGCATTTGTGCTAGTGTTTGATCCTGCAGGATGCTTTTGCACATTCTGTAGCATCCCTTAGCTGTGACAGGCTCTGGGCGTAGGAGATGAACCGTAAGACAGGGTTGAGGGTTTCATTCTTCCCTCTGCTTTCAGGAGGGGTCTGAAACACTGAATTACTTTGAAAACTGCCCAGCTTGCATATGCCCTGTACACAGGTCGATCGCAAGAAAACAATAAAAGGGATGAAGCAACTCAAATTTATTTTACAGGCCAAGAAACACTCTCAATTAACAGAGATGCTTCAAGAGTATATCAAGTCTGCAGGAAAGAGAGTGTATTAACTGTGACCCAAAATTGTCTGCTGAGCAGATGAATTACATGGCAGTCAGTGATGACACACATCAGAGACGTGCCCTGTCTCTACAGAATTTAATCAAATGCAAATTCCGCTGCATTGTATTTTATGGAGCTTGTTGGCTCAGTGATGAAGTGCATATAGTTCATTAATGAGACTCGGACCCACCTCCATATAATTTCTACTGCTGTGGCAGTGAGAGACCATACATGCCTTGCTGGGAGCAGGGCTCTCCTGCATTTGACTGCAGACATCTCTAGGAGCAGTTGTCTGCTGAGACCTGCTCTGGGTTCAGAAACGTTCTGTAGAGCTTGTAACACTGACTGCAGTTACCCAGAGAGACCAGCTTTTAATATTCTAAAGACAATGTCTTGAAATCTTCCAGTTTCTCCCTGTAGTTTGTTTTTAATAGAAATTTTAATAGAAATTAATAGTTTGTTCTGTATTGGGATTTGCCCACAGATACCTTTTCCATTTAATTGAGGCAAAAGGTATATGTGCTATATTTATTATTACAACAACAAAAACACCCTATGTATATTTAGATTAGGAATAGTCTTTAGCTATCTCAGTTTCTCCAATAGTCCCACACACAGACAAGGGTCTTGCAAGCTTGTTCAAACTGTGCAGACCAAGTGATTTCCCTAAAAGACTGGCAGCAGACTTAGTAGCCTCTCTGTTTTGGTAGCTGTGATTTAGGTGAAAAAGATAGCAAAGCACTACTGAGCTATAGACCTAGCTTACCCTTTTAGAGCTTTTTTTTTTTTTTTTTTCATGAATGATAATGGAAAATACATCTTGGGAAGAGAGAAAACAACCCAAAAATCCATATGTATGTCTACTATGTTTCACTTTAATGCACAATGAATTTTTTTCCTCTCCTTGCAGGAGTCTCCAAGATGAATACTACAGCAATGAGCCCACTCACCGTTACTCCACTAAGTTTTGTTCCAGACTTAAAAAATTCCACCCTTGATCCTCTCAATGAGACTGCATGTGAAAACTGGAAAGAGATTCATCATCTTGTTTTCCACGTGGCAAACATTTGCTTTGCAGTTGGACTGGTTATTCCAACTACTTTAAATCTTCATATGATTCTTCTGCGAGGCCTGCTCACCATAGGTAGGAGAATTGTTCTGGAGACAGGAATGTGACACAAATGGCTGGGTTTGACCATATGGAGCTGGTCTGTGCAGCTTATGGTGAAATTACTGCCTCTATTAATGGCCATTTTGCTCTGATGAAGGTGGTTTTGGTCTAAGACTGGATCTGTTTTGACCTTGATATACCTTTTCTAGAAAGATTATATAACCCTTGGCTCTTAAAACTTCCTAGAACTGTAATTTGCAATTTCAAACCTGTGAAAATGTCAGCTTGAAGACAAGTGGACATCATTTATGTCAGATGTAACTGGATGTTTAAAATCCACTTATTTCAAATCAGTTATGCCTGATCATTAAGACCTTTATTTTAGACTTCTTTTTTACCTTTACTTTTTAAGTACTGGGACTGTGTATTGGCAGGTGCCCTGGCTCAGTGTGTCTGAGGTAGGTGAGCTCTTCCTTGAGGAGCTTGCTGTGAGCCCATGTATTCTTTTAATGTGAGTTCAAACCTGTGGCACTTGTGGGTCACCAGCATTATTTTCATTGCTGATTTGGAAGTGCAGCCTTTCGATGGGGAGTGCATTCTGTGTTCTGATAGCATTTGTGTTTCTTCTACCATGGTAGGAATCTTGTGACACCAGAATCTGACTTGAGAGGAAAACCTAAATTTGGCATGCCTGAGACTGAGCGATGTGGTTTGATTTGTAACAGTGCAGTCTCACAGCTATTTCAAAGCCTCTGTACCTTGTGTGGGACAAGATCCTTGTGATCAAAGAAGGAATAGTGACTCATTGCAGTGTAAGAGGGATAAATCCAATCCAACAAGAGCATGCTCAAGTATTTTTAAGTGAATGCTTATTGGCATTATAGTGTGGGTCAATTTTATGGTAGAATTTGAATTTACAATGCTCTTGCATTTTCTATTTTATAGCTGTGATAGGGTAACTTCTTAAAACGCACTGCACTGGTAACCAAGGGTCTGAGCATTGCAAGACTTTTTATCTTGGCTTTAAAAGCAAAAGGAGCTCTGCACTTGCTGGGCCTGCCGTTTTGATCTGTAGGTCTTGTATGAGCAGAGAGGGAATCAGAGTTTTGCAAGCTGGGGTGGCAGCAGGGAGCAGATTTACTCAATGGGCAGAATGAGTAATGAGGCCTGGTTCCTAGGGACCTGCTCCCTTTGCCTTGACCCTGTCCCACCTCTGTGCTGCTCTGCAATATTGCTGCTTTTCAATACATTCAGACTTCATATCCTCCTGTGCCTTGCAGTCTAACTATTAGTCAGATCAAGAGTCACTATATTTTGATTTTTCTAATCCATATGTAAGTGCTGCCTCATCAGTTAACAACCCAGACAGACTAGATAGTACAGAGTTCATTAAGTCAAGGTCATCTTCAGGGAGAAAGGGGGTAAGAACACTCATTTAGCACTGTCTCCTTTTTGTCTTTGCAGGAAGCTTAAGGGAAAATATAACTGTGACCTCTCCAGCCATCTCTGTTGGATGGTAGGCTCACAGTTATCTGGGAGAGACTCACTAATACATAATCTATCATTTGATAAATATTATCTTTGTAGGCTGAAAATGGAATCCCTATTCATACACGATGCCTTGTATTTTAAAGCAAGAGTCATCATTCAAAGCAAGGCAACTAAAAAAAGAGTAAGCATTTGGAAATTTTGTCTTTGATGTTACACAGGAGAATTCAGGTTCCTTATGTGACCTTGTCACATCAGCAATAATAGTTTATTTTAATTTTCAAAAAAATCTGCTTATGACTTTGGGAAGTTTTTATGCAACTCTTCCTAGCTAATTAGATGTGAACGTTAATTTCTAGCCTTTTTTTGTCTAATTAGTGCAACACAAATTTTTGTGAGCCATCTAATTTTCTCCCATCTCTTTTCTACTTCATTTCAGTAACAAATCATCGTGGGCTGCACCTTTGTGCTTGCCCCATCCTGATCTGAATTACTGTGACTTCAGTATTGCAGTCCCATGTAATAGGGCTGCAGTCTGTCAGCCTGCCCTCAGTGCCTGTTTGCAGCATTGCAGTGATTAGCTATTGTTGCATGTCTTCAGCCAGAGAACTTGCCTGAATATATTGCTTTTCAGCATAATTATACTCAGTGGACATATTCTTGATGGTTTTTTGGGAATGTTTATTATTTGGTGAAATATAACTTCTTTCCTTTTTTTTTTTTTTTAATTTTTACAGGATGTGCACTGTTCATCATTTGGGCTACACTCTATCGTTGTGCCTTGGACATAATGATCTGGAATTCTGTGTTTTTGGTTGTCAACCTTTTGCATTTCATATACCTAGTGTATAAAAGAAGACCGGTATGTATAACAGCTGAATTTTACAAGCACTCTAGTAAGATGCAAGAAAAGGAAATTTTGCCCATGTTTGCTGGGCAAACCAATGGATTAGTACACATTTTCAGCAGAATACTTCTGTGTTTGGCCCAAAATCACACTCTGGAAGTGTGCAACAACTTGTACCAAAAAAAAAAAAAAAGAGAAAACAAAACCTAACAATTCAAAAAAAAATCAATTCAACACTGCCTGTGCAAGAAAGCAGCTAGGAAATTAGCTGGCAAGGCAGCATGAAGCTTGATTTCTGTCTTGCCTAGGAAGTAGCTAAAACTTACTAGGCTGATCTGTTACTAGACAATTGTAGATGTGCAGTAAATATTTCTAGTTCAAATTGCTCTTGAAGGGTCGCCTTACTACTTACAGGGTAACTTCCTCTTTAGTTAGTATTGCTAATGCTTTTTTTTCAGCCTATTCAATTGATTTATGTCACCAGTGAGATGCAGCACATGATGAAACTGCATTGTATTTCTGCTAGGTGGCCATGGCCATGCTGTCCAGCACACACACAAAACAGCAGTTGTGATGAGATAGGTAAGGGAGAAGCCAGTGAGACCAGACTCTACCTACTCTGAAGATGTCCACAGTTAAATATCCCATGCATGTACTCTGGTTTCTAGTATAGAATTAATTTATTTGCAGTCTTTCCCCTCAAACAAATTAGTATTTGATTCCCTTCAACCCCCCCAATTAAGCCTTTTTAATAGGCTTCTAATCTTCTGTCAGACGGGACAGGAAATGGCCCCCAAAGTCAGAAATTATTGCAAAAGGCAGGAGTGCTCAGCTTACAGAAACCCATTTCCCTGGGAAACCAAGCCTTTAATCTTGCCTGTATTTTGAAAGTGAATTGTGAAAGTGAATACCTTTAACATAGGTAATGGTCCTTGAGTTTGTACCTGTCCAACCCTTTCCAAAAATCTAAAGAGGTGAGTGAAAAAGCATCCTGGGAGGATGTTGTGCTGGTTTGAGCTTGAATGAAAAAAACAACCAAACAAAAAAATCACCCTATAATGTGTAAATCAATACTGAATGAAGAAGGAAATACATTATTTTGTAATTACAGTTGTCTACTAAAAGCTGTGTTGGCATAGATTGGGGTACTTTATGCATTACAGTATAGATTTCATCCTGTTGAAGGGGCAGCTGTTTTCACTAAATCTTCTAATAAATTTGTTAGCAGAATTATTTGTAGGAGTTAGGTTAAGTGATAGCAGTGATTGCAGTACTCTGTGGGTGGATACAAAAAGAAGGAATTTTGTGAGAATATGAAACTTGACTGATAAACTCAGTCACCAAAATCGGTAAAAAATTGCATCTAAGAGGGGGAGACCTGGAGCACCTGCCTTTAACTTTGCTTTCTCTTTCTGTAGCCTTTGCCCAGTGTCAGAGTAGCCACAGCAGAAGTGAGGTGCTTGGCACTCCCATAAACTGCACTGCTCACACTCTGGCAGACAACCACAGCATATAAAAGGAGGCTAAAGGTTAAATTGCATCTGTCTACAACAAGTTGATAAATCGAGTACATGTGTTAAAAAAGGAAGAGGCTCTACCTACAGCAGTGTTCCTCCAATATGGAACACAGATTCACCCAAAGATTACCATCAGCTGTGCTATGTGACCTGAGCAACTTAACATCTCGGCCAAAAATTAGATCTGATAGACTAGCCAGGTAGTGCTGTTTCTTTGCATTTTGAGGCTTAATTTCAATAGTCTTCTTTCCCTTGAGAAAGTACAGTATTTATGAACATTGCATGGAAAATATTATGTTCTTTTAATTGCTGTAATACATAATATTTTCAGTAATTATTTAAAAATATATGAGTCTTGGCTGAAAACTATAATCAACAAGTGTACTTGAAGTGATGCCTGATAGTCACAGAAGTCTTTTTAGCCATCTGACATGTTTATTATAAACCCCAAGGCTGTTTTAAGTGTTTTTCCTACAGGAGGACAAAGAGTAGGGGGAAAAAAATTAAAACTCTTAGGAACTAATTTTTGAATGAGATTTTCTCTCTGCAGCTATTGTATTGCCCATCTCAATCAGTTTTGGTAATTCTTACAAAAGATCTTTCCAAGGAAAGAAAGGAATGGCAGAATAATTACAAGTTAGTCATATTACAAAATGAATAATTTATATGTTCGGTTGTTAAATATTTATTTTATTAAATGGAGCATGCAAAATCACCGTGAGTTTCTTTTCTGACCAGAAGATTATTTCAGTGGTTTTGATTCCTTGGAGCTTTACAAATTTGGCTTTTTTAGTTGGAGTGGAAGCTGACTCTAATCAGTCTGACTCGGAGTTCTGGCAGCATCCCAGAATATTTCAACCCCTGCTGAAGAAAACATTACACCTACCCATATGGCTTGTTTGGAATATGACCCACAAGCATGACTGGAGGAGCAGTCAGCTGTGCTTGGGAAGGGGGAATGGTCTGTTATAAGGGAGTCCATCTAAAGCTCAGCTACAGCCTGCAATCTGATCGGTCTTTAAGAAAGTGGCTACACCTGCTTTCCCCTCAAAGTATTACACACTAGAGGAAGATCATGAAACATGAACCATGTGCTAGTTAAGGGATTGGATTAACACTCCAGAGCCAAAATTTGCCCTCATGTCTATGTGCCTGGTTTTGGGTTCAGGAGTCTAAGGAGCTACGTAAATTCCTTTTTCAGATGGAAATGTATTTCTTTAAGTTGCAGTGGTCATGAAAGTGTCATAGAAAGTGCAAATTAAATTGGTACAGCTGTTAAAAATGAATGAGTTCCTGGAGAACCTGATGGTAAAACAGTCATCTAGCTTTGTGGGTATATGGAACATATTTTAAACAATTTGTGGGTATATGGAACAACAAAAATATGTTCAGGACAATCCTTAACATAATACAATTTCTCTTGCATGTTTGTTTTTAATCCTTGTTTTGTCTGTGTAGATGTCCTCTGAGGGACTAAAGATTGTGGCATAAGGAACATACAGGAAATTCAAAACCTGAATTTCATAGGAGTGTAGTTGCTTGTGGAATATTTAACTAGTAATTGATTCAGTGTAAAACCAGTGTAACTTTAGGTCAGGTGATGCACTGGACATAGTAAGTCCATGAGCCCTGATGTCACACAGCCACAGGAGCTCGTGTCATTGTAAGGCCATTCCCGACAGTCTTGGAATAATGGTGGTGACTGAGAGAAATGAGTGAGGAACAGAGAAAGCAAATGCCACTCCTTTCCTCAAAAAGGGCAAGAAGGGACCAGGGACTGCAGCCTGGTCAGCCTCAACTTGATCTCTGAAAAGAAGGAATAGAGAGTCCTGGAAACCATTTCTGTGCACATGAAGCACAAGAAGGTAATCAGGAGTGGTCAGCAAGGATTTACCAAGGGGAAGCCATGCTTAACCAGCCTGATAACAGATGGATAAGAAACTGATTGAATGGTCACCTCTAGAGGGTAATGGTCAAAGGTTCAGAGTTCTGATGGACATCAGTGACAAGTGATGTCCCATTTGGGTCTGTATTGGGACCAGTGCTATTTACTGCCTTCATTACTGACATAGACAAAGGGCTTGAGTGCAACCTCAACAAATCTACAGATGACACCAAGCTGAGTTGTTTGACACACCTGAAGGATGGGATACTTTCCAGAGGGACTTGGACAAGCTTGAGAAGTGGGCCAATGGAAATTTCATTAAATGCAAGATGACCAAGTGCAAGGTGCTGCACCTGGTTGGCGCAACCCCCAGTATCAACACAGGCTGAGGGACGGACAGATTGAGAGCAGCCCTACAGAGAAGGACTTGGGTGTGGATGAGAGGCTGGACTTGACCTGACAATATGCACTCTCAGCCACAGAAACCCAGTTGTGTCCTGAGCCACATCAAAAGCAGCGTGGCCAGCAGGGTCAGGGAAGTGACTGCTCTGATGAGATCCCAGCTGCAGTGCTCTGAGGTCCTGAGCACAGAGACAGAAGAAGTGTTCTGTGAGGAAAGTCTGGGGGAATTGGGGTTGTTCAGCCTGGAAAAGAGAAGGCTTTGGGGTGGCCAGATTGTGGCCTTCCAGTACTGGAAGGGAAGATACAAGAAGGATGGAGAGGGACATTTTACAAGGGCATGTAGTGAAAGGATAAGGGGCAAAATGGTTTCAAACTGAGAGTAGGTTTAGATTAGATATTAGGAAGGAATTCTTTACTGTGAGAGGGGTGAGGCACTGGAACAGCTTGCCCAGAGAAGCTGTAAATGCACAATCCCTAGAAGTGTTCAAGGTCAGGTTGAAGCTCTTATGCTACCTGGTCTTGTGGAAGATGTCCCTGCCCATGGCAGAGGGGGTGGAACTGTGTGATCTTTAAGGGCCCTTCTGACCCAAGCCATTCTGTGATAACCTTCTATGATGAAATGACTGGCCAGATAGCTGAGAATGGTGAGTATCCTCAATCTTAATTTTGGTAGGGTTTTCAGCACTGTCTTGTATAAAATCCTGATAGAGAATCTGTTGAAGTGTGGCCTGGATGGATTGAAATGAAATTGAAAATGAAATTAAATGAAATTAATTGAAATTGAAATCTGGCTGAATGTCAGTGTGGTGGGGCATATGTGAACCCCGATGACACAAAACTGAGGAGTGGCTGATAGGCCAGAAGGCTGGGAAACCATCTGGAGGGGCCTCAGCAGGCTGGAGAAATGGACCAACAGGAACCTCATGGAGTTCAACAGAAAGTGTGGAGTACTGCACCAGGGAGGAATAACCGTGCATCAGCACATGCCAGGGACTGACCAGCTGGAAAGCAGCTTTGTAGAAAAGGACCTGCAGGTCCTGAGGGAAGACTTGAACATGAGTCAGAAACTTGCCTCTTTCTCTTGTTTTCTGTCATTCTTTCTTGGTTGTTTTTCCTTTTTCTCTCTTCTATGTATATTTTATTTTTTTTCATTATCCGATGCTTATTGTTCTAATTTGTCTTCCTCGTGGCAAATATGCAGGCATTATTCAGGCTGTCTCTGCTTTCAGGAAGGCTGTGATATTGTCTCATCCTCTGCTTCCTTCATTCAGGGAAGACTTCCAGGCACAGGATTTCAGCCAACATCCTTTCCCTCATTGCTGCTGCCTGAGTTTGGGTGGGCTCTTAGATGTGGGATGTTCAGCTGGCAATGTTTATGGGGTTTTTTTTCCCTCCCTCATCACATGTGGTTTCAATATAATTGGTTTGTTTTTCAGGACTTGCTTTTCTACTGCAAGTAAGCCAAGAAGCTCAGGGATGAGAGGGGCTCTCAGGAGAGCCTGAGGGATAGCTGTAGTCATGCGTGCATGCAGTGTGAAAGACAGCCTCATTTTTTTTCTCTGTATAATTCTTGCCCAAGTCCTTCCTAGTCACTATTGCCCCAACAGAGATCTCAGAGGGCTCCTTGTGTGTGATTTAATGTGGCACTTGGATGGAACAGCATTCTAAAGCACCAGTGTGCCATCCTGGCTAATTTTAGGTAAGGTTTTGGTCACCCTATCATAGGCAGTGTTTGTGGATAGGCATCACACATTTACCACTTCTTTCCTTGCTTAAGCATAATGAAGCCAAAGATGTCCCTCAAGCTAAAGCATGTGTGCAGTCTTACCCATTTTTAACTAATGCATCTGTTTATTGATCTCTCTTGTTTTTCCAATCTAGATCAAGATAGAGAAGGAGCTTAGCAGCCTCTACAAGAGAATGTTTGAACCTCTCCATGTGCCTCCAGAGCTCTTCCAAAGACTAACTGGACAATTCTGCAACATTCAGACTTTGAAGACAGGTCAAGCCTATGCAGCAGAAGATAAAACATCAGTTGATGATAGGCTAAGCATCCTGCTGAAGGGGAAGTAGGTTCTATAAAAGTTTGGGGACAGTCGTATGCTTTGTGTCATGGCTGAATAAATTAGAAAATTATTGAGGCTGCAATTGTTTGTAGTATGCTATGGTCTATAGTCAAATGCTTCTATACTTACAGACTATTTTTTGACACCATTTTCAGGTGACAGTGATATCTCTTACTGCAAGCATAGTGTGTATCCACTTACGTGTGCAGCTGCATGGATTTAGTGGGAATTATATTTGTGTAGTACCAAAGGCAGTGTCTTGCAAAATGAGCAAGAGTTTTGTTTGAGTCTTAGACATCGTAGTTGTCCATTCTCAGGTTTTAAGGTTAAAAAATACGGTGCATGAGGGAAGAAGAAGTATGTCTCCAGTAGGATTTAAAACAGCAGGCCTTTGGAATTGATTCATTGCACTTGTACGTGCAAGTAGAGAAGGGCAGGTGCACTGCCCAGAGGCAGACTGAATCCAGGTGAGAAAGGGTGAAATATATGCCCATGGCCAAGCTGTAATCTTGAAACTCATGCTAAATTCTGGCCAATATTTTAACCAATTTCTGTTGACAGCAGCAGCAATGTCAGGCTCCATTGCTTTTCTTACTCATTACCACAAAGCTACTTACCTAAGGGAAGTCTGATTCCGGTCTGGCTGTGTAACATGACCTTTCTCATATTGAATAACAATGTTTTGTGGATACATGCCATGTTCATCAATTCTCTATTTGTCTGGCAGCCTGTTCTGCTTGGAATCAGTTAGGCAGAAAACAGGGTAGCTCTGGGAGTGATATTCCAGAAGATGAACGTATTTATTCCTGTTTCCTACTGCATTACTGTTGTCAGTAGTCCTACCCAAGTTTTGATTAAATTAATCAGCCTCCATGATTTTAAAATGTTGTTTCATACATTTTTTATTTCCAGAATGAAGGTGTCTTATCGAGGGCATTTTCTGCATAATATTTACCCCTGTGCCTTTATAGATTCTCCTGAATTTCGATCAACGCAGATGAACCGGGGTGAGAAATTCCAGGTATATCTTGTTTTAAATGTCACTGGATATGAGCTGGTGAGACAATTAAAAAAATAGATTTGATAAATTTGATCAACAGTGAACTGTTTGACTTGCATAATTGTGCTATCCTTCTAGTATAGGTGTTTGAAGATGGACCATATCAAGAAGAACTTTTAAATGCTGCAAAACACTGTTATAATGTTGTGTATTGAGCAGTCTGGCTTTTGCTATTTTGTTATTTGTTACTGTTTCCAAGTTTATTTATGTTAAGAGATTGTTCAGGACAAATAATTTAAGAGGCAGTTTTGATGGAAAAAGATGATATGAACAGGTCTCATCAGTGGTTCAATAAAAAGAAAAGGGAAAAAAGAGCTGCTGTAATAATTAAACTCTAGAAGTTCTGGCACTAGTAATTAGAAATTGGTATTTATAAAAGTGTATGAATACTTCTGTCATTTTGCAGTTTGTTAAAGCAACATAAGCTGAAAATTATCTCAGTATTTTGAATAAAAATATTCATATGGGGAACAATAAGGGTATATTTCTCTAGCAGGAACAATAAGGGTATATTAAATATATCCTATTATAGTTTGGGGAGGTGGAATACTTTTAGGGAAGGGTGTATTTTTTCCGATAGAAATGGCTATTTTGCTACCTCTTGATGTTCTTTAGCTAGGTGTGTGTAATAATGACCAGACTGTGACTGACTGACACATCCACACTGACAGCGTGGCAGAAGGGGAGGCAGAGCAGACTCTAAAATCAGTGACTGATGTCATGTGTTCCAGTCAAACACTGGGCTTACGCCAGGGGGAGAGACTTGTCCAGATGCACTCACCTGGCAGCAGCAGGGCCTCCCACAGCCCGGCTGCCCCTTGGCACAGCCCCTTTCTCCTGGGACAGGCTGGATAGGCATCGGTCCCTCCCAAGGGAAAAGGGTCGTGCCTCAGCTTCTGCCCGCCTTAGAGGTTATTGTGATCTGGAGCAGAGTGCATCCTTTATTCGTGGGTTCTGCTTGTTACTGCCGTGTGAATACCAGCAGCCTTGCAAGAGACACGGATTCAGTCGTCAGGACCCCATCTGCTGGCAATGCTGGGGAATTCTTCCTCAGTCTGTGGAGTTAAAAATCCGTGGATATGTGACAGTATTCCATTGTTTCCAGGACTTAATGGATTTTTTTTTCCAGGATGTAATGTTATCTTGTAAAAGCAGAAAGCACCTGATTTTGGTTTATTCATAGATGCCTGACTCCCCCTTGCAAAACCTGGTCCTGGGTATGACCAGTGTGGGTTTTGGTGTGGCATTGCCCTCTGCTGACACAGGGGGATGAACCTGGCACGTCCATCCTCCCATGAGAGGGGGCAAAATCCCCTGTGACTACCTATAACTGGATTGTCAATAACTGAGCAAACAGAGCTTGGCTCAACTGCTACAAGGTTGTACTTGCGGGATCACCAGGGCTGACAGTTACAAGAGGAAAATTGAATTATTTTTTTTTTTATTGCTAAAAACTCTTTGTTGGAGACCTTTGGGTGATACCAGTTGTTCCTGTTTGGTGATGGTGATGTAAAATAAAACCAAGCTACATATAGGCCTACTGCAAGAGCTTGTCATCACTATAGGACTGACTTCATAAATAAATTTCCTCTTACATAAGTGCTTTTACAGTTTGGGAACTCATGAGAGATTTTCCCTGTTATTCTCCCCAGGTTTTCTATAAAACAAACTGGCTACACATATCAGTTACAAATATAATGATAATAAATAGCTGAGAATTTTTATATTTGCAATTATCACATTCATAATAAAGGGATACAAAAAAGCTTTATGGCTTTAAGAGTTACTTTAACTGGAGTCACAAATAAAATGTACTCACTTATTTTAAAGCATGTTCATGTGTGCTCTTGTTAAAAAATTTTTACATGTGCTAACTCTAAGCATGTATTTTTTCCAGGTCACCATTATTGCTGATGATAACTGCAAGTTCCTGTGCTGGTCCAGGGAGCGGCTGACTTACTTTCTGGAGTCTGAGCCATTTCTTTATGAGATCTTTAAGTACCTTATTGGCAAAGATATTACAAATAAACTTTATTCATTGAATGACCCAACCTTAAATGACAAGGTAAACAACTTCAAGTTTTCTTTGGAAATTTTCCTCCCACGTACAAATGTGTTTTTATTTCAATTTTGAATGCTCTTAAAGCACCTTATTTTAACTTGCTGCCATCAGCTACTTAATGCACACTTGTGGCCTTTTAGTGCCAAGGTGTGAGTCAGTGCAACATTTCTGTCAGAAGAAACATTTGTTAAAGTCAGCACAGTAATGTACAAGAAAGATGAGTAAATAAGATTCAGAACTGATCGGCTTGTGGAAATATTTCTGCCTAACTATTAGAAATGATCGCCAGTAGCTAAAAAGGTGCTTCTCCCTGGATATCCTTTCTCACTAACAAATGAGTGTCTTTGTAACAAGAAGCTTCAGGGTTTTTTTCTTTAAAAAAATTTCTTACAGGGGGCAAACAATTACGTAATACTGATTGCTAGGAAGAATAATTTCAACATGTCTTTGAGGGATGCAAATGCAAAAAAAACCAAAAAAACCATTATGTTGCTATGATGTAGAAGTTAGTGGAAGGAATAATGAAATACATATAAAATATAAATAAATATAATTAAAATATAATTTATATATTTATAAATATATAAAACATTAAGTGGTCTGGGCATACTCATGGATATATGAACTATCTTGCTTTAGTTTAATTTTGTCTCCTTACTTATTCCTTATCATAATTTTGAAGAATTAGAAAATCCAACAAATTTTGCCCCGCTTTTGACTTAACATCTGCTCTCTTTAACATCAGTTTGTACTGAGTCTTTGTTTTCAGTGGCAAAAATCACATAAATTTAGGATTATTATAGCTGGTTTATTATAGTAAGTTTTGAAAATGTATGTTGTAAACATTGAGTGAGCATTTGGAAAATTTGTAGTATCTTCTTATTCTTCCTAAAATAAAAATCCCGTTGCATGAGCTCTTCCTACATAACTTGGCAAGAGAACTGTTAAATAAATTCTTAATTTTTCCATTGCCAGCACTCCATGTACATATTACCTCTCACAAGCTTCACTTTCAAATAGAAATATTATTAGTGTCTTTGATATCTTTTAACTGTTGTCAATCTCATCAGAAAATAGTGGGGTTGACTTGTGTATGTAGAGTATTGAGTATTGATTATTCGTATTCAATATGGTAGTAAGAAGGTAAAACTATCAAATAAATTCTTGTTGGAAAACAGAAAAGTATATTTTATTTATTTAAAAAGTATATATTTTTAAAGTATATTTATTTTTAAAGTATATTTGTTTTTAAAAAGTATATTCTATTTTATTAAATGTATTATTAAAGTATAATTTATTTTGTAAGAAAACTTGTGATTTTCTCCTACCTGAGAAGACTGTCACTAGTATTGGGAAAGTAGTCATTCCTTTCTGCACAAAATAGGATACTGGTTCCTGACTTTTAAAATTCCATAAAGTGGATTTATCCATTATTGTCTTGCCATTGATTGCTACCTTTCACGTGTACCTAAAATAGCATTCTGACTTGCAGTAATACCTTACAAGGTACAATGTATGGCTTCACATAAATGTTGTAGTATAAAGGCTTCTCAGGAAGGCTACTCAAAGCAAAATGGAAGCTCCTCAGACAGTTTGACAGGGAGAGGATAATGTTCACCTGATGCACTTAGTCTGCAGTAGAATCAAGAGCCAAATGGTCATCTGCTGGGAAGGAGTGACATTCACCACTTTTCTAACATGATGAAATGAAAAGCCAGGAAAATGAACATGCTTCTGTTAAGGTATAAATTGCCTCTATATGTAGCATGCTTTTTTGTTTAGCAAGGAGGATCAGCCTCATCATAAAGACTACATTTAATTGCAGAGCATCACTTTTAAATAATGAATTACCAGATAATAAACCCCAAGCTTTCTGTAAGAAAATACATGAAAATTTCAGTACAAAAGCAATTTGAGATTGAATAATTAATGTGCAGTTTCATACTTGTCAGTGTTGCAATTCCAGTATATAACTGGCATTTTCTATTGTCATTTAAATTGATTTACACTGCATAGAATCTTATCCTATAACAATTTTCTTGTATAATTATGGCTGAGCCCGGAGCATCTATTACAAGGGAAGTAGTAATTTTCCATTTTTATTTTAATTTGCCTGATCTTTTTTTAAAGTAATCATTTCTTTCTTTTTTAGGCCTCAAAGAAGATTGACCGACAGCCCAGCCTTTGCTCCCAGCTCTCCGTGATGCAGATGAGGAACAGCATGGCCAGCACCAGTGACAGCGAGGATGGCTTGCAGATGTTTCTTCGTGGGACCTCCTCTGCATCCTCTCTTCGTGAGTGCTCAGAATAGTTTGTGGCAGTTTTGAACACGGCTCAGGTTGACCATCAGAGACCACTGCAGAGCTCCTGTTGCCCTCTGTGGGAGCAGAGTGTAGTTTTTTGGGTGCTGCTGTATCAGCTAAATGAAGGGACTTAACTATAGGGCAGTGATTAGGTGCATCAGGCTTTGTGTTTTAGATGCAGATGCCTCATGTACATACTGGGAAAAGACCCCAACATGTGTAGGAATAATCTTTGGCATAATGTTTATGTTTAGGCATAATGTGGAATGTTTCTAGTAATGGAGCCAAACTGAAGGTATAGTGCTGGTCACAGTAGTATGTCCTTTGGTCTCTCACTGGTGCTTGTAGAAACTAAAAACCCAAACAAAACATTTTCCCTCACCAACTTGGTGTCCTACTTTTCCTCTGAGATCGTTTGTATTGGCAGGGTCTGGAGGAATGTGGTATATAACCAATATTTTGATGTCACCTGGAAAATCTCCCAGTATCCTGTCAGGCCCTCCTCTGCTGTGCTTTGTATGACAGGAGTAGTAGAGAACAAATGAAGTGAGAGAAAAAACCATGTCTGACCTTTTTACTTCTATTATTTTAATTACTTTATGAGAACATTCTAAATTATTCTTTCTAGGCTATTGCTGTCATTTGTTTTTAGATCATCTGAATCTAAACATCAACATTAGCCTGAATCCTGAAAGCAGTGTTCGAATAAAAAAGCCCCGCAGGGTGCTCAGTTTTTGCATTTGGCATAGGCTGTTAGTTTAATGGATGGAATTTAAAACAGCATTTAAAAGGACAATATAGGATTATTTATTTTGATTTTGGAAATACTATTTTTTAGTGATTATAATTCAAATATATGAGAAAAAATCCACTGTTATTGTTATTTATTATGTTATATGTTATTTGTTATGCTTAAAGTCTCTGCTAAGAAGAGGAAATATTTTCAAATATTTGCATCTTTCTGTTTAATTATCTGTTTTCCATTGTGTTCCTCACAGTTCTCATCCAGTAACACCTTCAGACCTGGAGGGCTTATCTGGTTTTACTTTCCTTAACATTGGTGTAGTCTGCATGCCCAAATAGATGGAGGAAAAAGCCCTACTAATGCTTCACCCTACTAGAACATCAAGGGTGACATCTGAGATATAGTTTGATGAAAATTCCAGTGTTGTTTTCTTTTTCTCCTCCGTTCACGGCAAGGACATTCAGAGGTACCTGAGGTAGTAAAAGACCCCTGGAAATTACCAGGTCCAGCCTCATGTCCAAAGCAAGATCAGCTAGAGCAGAGCCATGTCCAGTCAAGCTTTGAATATTTCCAAGTTGGAAGATTTTCCAGCCTCCCTGGGCAACCTGCTGCAGGGACTTACCACCCTCACAGTGAAAAAATTTCCCATATTGCAACTCATGCTTGTTTTCCTTCTTTCTTTAGTGCATGCCTCTGAGAAGAGTCTGGCTCTCTCTTCTATGTTGCCTTCCATTAGGTAGCCAAAGACAAGAGTCAGATCCCCTGGGAGCCTTCTGTTCCTAAACACATCCAGCTCCTGCAGCCTCTCCATCACTGCTCCAGCCTCTGGCCATCTGGGTTGCACCCTGCTGCTCTCACTCCAGTGTGTCCATGTCTTTCTTGTACAGGGAGGCACAAAACTGATGCAGCACTCCAGATCCTGTCTCACAATTGCCAGATGGAGGGGATTAATCTCTTTCCATGACCTGCTGGCTATGCTCTTGCTTATATGGCTCAATATATGCTGTTAATGTGGCCCAATATATGGATAGCACCCTTCACTGCGGGGCACTCTGCTGACTCGTGTTCTATTTTGTGTCCACCAGGATGCCCATGTTTGTTTCTGCAAAGCTGCTTTCCAAGCAGCTGGGGCCTAGGCTGTAACGCTGTGTAGGTGTGTCATGTCCAGGTTCAGGGATTTGTCTTTCATGAACTTGTCGTTTTTGTCAGCTCTTTTCTCTTTTTCCAATGGCCTGTCCAGACTCATTGCCCTACCCTTTGGCCTGTCAGCTGTTTCCCTCACTACCTGGCTCTTGTCTGTGAATTTGGCAGGAGTGCATTCCATCCCATCAACCAGGTCATTCATATCTTGAATATTACAGGCCTTGGCTTTGGCCCTTGAGAACACTGCTGGTAACCAACCACCTGACAGCTGGGTTTTGTACTGCTGTTCACCACCCTGTGAACTTGGCAGAACAGCAGATTTTCCACGGAAGCTGTAGTCCATCTACCCAGCCTGTTTCCCATTTGTCTGGAAGGACCCACTGGCTGACCATGGAGGGCTGTGCTACCACCCGTGTAAACAACATCCACTGTACTCCGTTCATACACAGAGGCCATCAGCTCACCACCAAAGGTGGAAGGTGGTCAGATGTAATCAGCATCCGTGATGGCTTTCCCAGTCACCTTCCCACCCCTTGTGTGCTTGCACATGGCTTCTAGGAAGACAAGCTCCATAGTCTTCCTGGGAAATTAATTTAGATTACTAGGCCTGGATGTCTCATCTTCCCCATCAAAATGGCTGTGATCTTGGCATTTCCATTTGTGTCCCCTGACTGCAGTCACCTTTCCAAAATGATAGAGGGGGCCTTGCAATTGTATCAGCCAATGCTTGGCACCCTTGGATGCAGCCCGTGTGGTTCCAAAACCTTGTGTTCACCCTGTGGACTTGAGGTGTTCCTGACTCAGTCCAGGTTTCCTGTCAGTCAAGCATCACCCTCTGTCTCTAGCACTGAATGCAGAGCCCCAACAGGCCTCAGGACAAACCTCTAAAGAAAAAACTCAAAACAAATATTTACTGAATAGCTCAGAGTTTCTCATGTTCCTGTGTCCTGTGCATCACTGAACTCTTGCCTCGCAGTTATCCTGGTCTTTCTTTTGTTGCTGATTTATTTGTAGATGCCTTTCTTGTTGCCTTTCACTAGATCCAGGTCTAACTGAGGTTTGGCTTCCCTCATTTCATCACCGCATGCTTGGGCCATGGTTCTGTGTTCCCTCCAAGGAGCTCATCCCCACTTACACTCTGTGTGTGTCTGTTCTGAGTCTGTCAGAACTTTCCTGTTCATCTACGCCAGCCTTCCACCCTACTTGCTCAGCTTTTTGTGCACTGGAATGAACTGTCCTTGTGTTTTGAGGAAGGTGTCCTCGAAAATCAACCATCTGTCCTTAGGTCCATTTGCAAGCCTTGTCCCATGAGTTCCTGCCAAGTAAAACCCTGAGCAAGCCACAGTCCCCTGTTCTATAAGGTTGTAATTCTACTATTTGTCTGGCACACACTCAGTATCTTAAACTCCACCAGCTCCTGGACAGTGCAGCCAAGATTACCAGCAGCCTTCAGCTCCTGATGATTTCTTCCTTGTTCATCAGTGACAGGTCCAGCAGAGCGCCTTCCCTAGTTGACTCATCGATCACTTGTATGAAGGAATTGCCTGCTGCGTTCCAGAAATCTCCTGAACTGCCTGCTCCCAGCCCTGTTGCCTTTCCACCTGATACCAGGGTGGTTAAAACTCCCCAGGAGCACCAAGGCCTGTGACCCAGTTGTTGAAAGAAGGCTTCCTTCTCCTTGCTCTTCTTGATCAGGCAGCCTGCAGAGATTCCTGCCATGAAGTCTCCTATGTTGGTCTGTTCTCTGATCTTTGCCTTTAAACCCTCAAGTGGCTTTTCACCTGTTCCACACACAGCAAAGTTCCGTGAAATCGAAGCCACTCCTTTGCACAGAGAGCCTTTGGGTGAATTTGCACACTCAGAAATTGTAAAACTGTGTTTGTGTGTTTAGTTAGAATTGTCTCTTTCAGGCTTAACAGCAAAACTCTTAGACCAGTATTTCAGCTTTGGGAGAAAGTACTTGAAATGCATGACAAGTTCAGCTGTAATTACACAAACTCCAAGATGCACTTGTGCTTAGCACATGCTTGATAAATACACTTTACTCTGTTATACTTTTCCTTGGCTTGTGTACCTTTTTTTTTTTTTTTTTTTTATACAGGGTGTGCTTTACCCAAAACAAGAGGTTTATGTGTCTTTTATTTTCTGAAATTCCTCAGCCCAGCTGAGGCAGCAGCCTCCCAAGTCCAATGCTTTCCCTTACTTTTGGGGAGGCAGAGGGACTGCTCCTGTAGCAGTGCAATACACACCTTGGAAAGTATTGTTATTTATTTCTTCTTTGTATTTTGATTGTGAAATTTCTGACTGCTGTAAAAGGTTTGTTAATTTTCTTGAACCCCTAATGCTTCAATCTTTGTTTTTGCCAAGATAGCTTGTTAGTTATTCCTGGGTACTGTCATTGCCAATGATGGGGTTGCTGCCAAGGTGAGCTCTGCTTAAAGCTTTGTATTCAGTGTGGATTGTGGCCATGTATGCACTTTTTTCAGACCACAAGGAAAACTGAAAAAAAAAATCTGCCATTTGCCTTGTCACTGCTGTGTTTTCAAAACTCTTCTGCTGGGTGCTCTCAGTCTCTCAGTGCAACAGCTGAGGTATTTTTTGGTCTTTGTTTTTTTTTTTAAGATTTACTATAAGGCACATGCTGAGGCTTACAGTTCCAGTGCTGTTCCCTGGATCCTCCTTCTACAGGCATACATTTGTTTATTTAGAACAAACAAATGCAATCCAAAAGCCTCAAAAGATTTTGTGAGAAACTTTTTCAAACTTTTTCTTCTTTTTTTTTTAATTAGAATAAAAAAATTAATGAAGGGACTGTACACGGACTCTGCAGGAAAACTGTTTTGTCATTGCTAAGTGATTGTTGTGTGGACAAAACCTCCCACCATAAATATAACTTTGACTACTATAATCCAAATAAGTTTTCTTCTCCTAATTTCCATATTCTTGAAAAAATGAGCATTTATATTTTTGTATAATCCCATCTTTTAAAACTGTGCATTTATCAGTGCTATAAATTATAAACTTTTGACTCATTTTCTCAAGAAATTAATATTAATCCTATTTCAAAGTGTTTAGTAATAAAAGGGTTAAAATTACTAATTAGTAGGTCCCAAACTACAATTACTAACAAAAGTATGTTTTTAATTTAATTAATCAAGAAACCCAACTAACTTTTTGCTTTTATATTAAGGAAATAACCAACAAGAGTTCTATAATGCTTACGGAGTGAGTCGTTTGCAGCATGATGTTTTCTGTTGATAACATCACATTAACTCAGCAGGCATCCTCTAAAAGGTATTAAGTGGGGTTTGTTTATCATGTGACACTTGTGCTTGGCATCCGTGGTCCATCTGTATGTAATTCATTAGTAAGTGAAATAGAGGTATCTCTTTTTCCAAAATTTGAGTTAAGCAAAAATAGTTTAACCTGATCACAAGGCTAGTTTCAATCCTTTAAATAATATTTTGATATTAGTTTCTATTCTGTAATTCTATTGCTTGACACCCATTGACATATTTAGTAGAGATACAGTGTCTTTTTCTGTGGTACTTGTTTTAGACATTTCCTATTTGCTGGTGTATGCATTTATTTGTTAACTTCTAAGCTGAGCAGGAATGTAAAAAGGTTTTGGTTTGGTAATGCTTTTAGTGGTATTATCAAATTATAGGCTCCCTGCTTGTGGTTAAAAACAGGATTGGATTTCACAGGAATTTTAATATGTATTTTGGTTAGGCCCTCAAGAAAGGGCAACAAAATGCAGTGAAAGGAAGGTCTGACTCAGTCACTTGAACATCTGTCCAACACTGGATAATGGCACCAGTAGACAAAATTTTGTATTTGGAGCAAATAAGAGCATGTCTTTGAAACAAACAGGCTGAGCGAATTAGACCTTCGCTAATAATATCATGTACAAACTTATGGCTGCTTACTTCTGTTTTCTGGAGAGAACTAAGTGGCTTTAAACAGAAGAAAACCATTTTAAAAATAACAATAAACTACGCTGAAACAAAGATCAAAAAAAAAAAAAAAAAAAAAAAAAGAAGAAGCTGGAATTGTAACTCAGCATTTTCAGGCAATCTTTTACCTTTGGGTATCTCACAGAAAAACCACTTTTATATCCAGATGTACCCACAGACTTTGGGTGGGGCACATTAGCCAATTAATTGATCTAGTTACCCTTTGCTTAGGTCATAAAACACATGTGTGTGGGAAGAAATGTTTAATAATGTCAGTGTCTAAAAATGTGCTTGAGTAACCTTGTATTGTGTCAGTTTAAGTAGTTTTTGAATCTCAAAAGAAAATACGAATACATTTTTAACATAAGAAGTTCTGAAACACCAATTCCAAACAGTGTCTTTGTGAATGTGAAATTTAAAAATGCATTAGTGTCGTAACTTGCTGGTGTTGCCTGTGTCTGTATATTGCTCTCTGTGTGTAACACATACAGTGTAAATGAGTCTTTTCTCATAAGTGGGCTTCCTTAACACAGCACTTTACTGTATATCTGATAAATGTTTCTTAAAAATAAGAGTGTGTTACAGCTATCGGTATTTTTTTCAAGAATATTTAAATCTTTAGCTTGTATGCAAACAGTCTGTTAACAAGGCCTTTATCTCTTGTTCTTGTTGATCCCATTCTTCTCAAATGGGATTTCAGAGATTTCCATAATCTATTGGTCATAATATACTAGCTGTTTGTAACCTCATACATGTTGTGATGGTCTAAGTCTAGAAGAGGATACTGAGAAAAATACATGTCCACATGTAGATTCGATTTCTGAATGAACAATGGAAAACAGAACTGTCCAGCTGATGACTCGAAGGAGTTCTCTGGTTTGACCCTCATACTGAAAATTTAACTGCAGTAGAGGTAGTTTGCAGTGGTAACTTGCACAAAAATTCCATTTAATGTCTTGACAGTGATAGCTGTGGTGCGAGTCCTGCTCTGGCAGACAAGTTGCTGCCTTTCTAAAAGGTAGTTTTTTTGCAGTGAAATTACTGTCAGTTGAAAGTTATGTGGCCTTTGCCTGTAAATCTTGTTTTCTCTGTGGTTGTTTACGGTAGTATAAATCTTTTATAAGTTTTACATTATCATGCTGCACAAAACATACGAAGATGTATCAGGGGAGGCTTAGGTCAGCTTTTAGGATAAGGCTCTTCACCCAGGGGGGGGTTGGGTAGGCTCCCCAGGGAAGTGGTCACAGAACCACACCTGGCAGAGTTCAAGAGTGTTGGGTCTAAATGTCTGGATGATGCTCTCAGGCACAGGGTGTGACTCTTGGGGTGTCCTGTGCAGGACCAGGAGCTGGACTTGATCCCGATGAGTCCCTTCCAACTCAGCACATTCTATGACTTTATGCTTTGAAGGCAGTTGTGGCTTTGACGATGTGCCCATCCAAGGTTTCCCCGCAGCCAGGCCAGTGTGCAGATGTACACGCCCTTTGCACTTGGGGCAGCCACTCACATTGCTGTAGTTGCATGGAGATGAGTCAGAGAGTGAACATAAGGGTGAGAAAATGATCTCTGGGGAACAAGCAGTGGGCACCCCATGGGCACGAACTTCAGTTGGGGTTTGCCCTGAACTTGGGGAGAATGCTGTGTCTGTGGTTAGCAGGAGGCATTGCTAGATCTTAGCAGCATGGCTGTTCCATGTCTAGAGTTTCCTGGTGCCTATGGCCAAATAACAAAGAAACCTTCATTTAGAAATCCTCTCATGAAGCAACTAGGGCGGGATCATCAGATTGTGTCCACTTTGTCACAAACAAAGGTCTATGTAGCAGGTGTGTGTTGTTAAATTAACTGGTAATTTCTTTGTACCTGTGACAGGCCCAGGCCGCACATCTCCTTACCTGAGAACTTCAGCAAAGATGAAGCCCATAGAAGAAAGTGTTGAAGATGATGTCTTTGAAGCACCATCTGCTGATAAGCTTGAGCTCCAGCGGCTGCCTTAAACAGTTGTGTCCTCAGGTGTGTCAGAGCTTGCACAAAGCTCCAGTGCAACAGGAAAGAGCTGAATTTGGGAGGAATCTGAAAGCTAAGCCCACTTCTCCATGTTTGAATTTACTGCAGCATATGCCAGTGGTATCTAGATGGAAATGTCATGTTTTATTTTACTTCTAAATAAAATAAAATAAATTAAAACTCACGTGTGTTTTTTGTTGCTTCTTTTTGGTTGCTTTATTTCTACTTAGACTTTTGCCATTATAAATTTAGTATTGTGTTTCTGATTAGCTGGAAATTTCTATACTTACTTGGTGGAGAATATCCCCAGATTCATTTACCTGTGTTCCTTTGAAGCCTGTATCTTTGTGTTTTCAGTGGGAGATTTTTAAACTGTTTCCACAGCCATGTTGCTGTTACCAACCATCATTGTTGTGTCAGTCTCATGTGAAAAACACACTCAGTCTTCTGCCTCAATTTTTTTAAAGGTATTTACCTTTAGTGTTTCCCAGTCTCACTCTTGACTCCACAATTGTAGTAATGACTTCAATTTTAGTTTTTCTTGGCCAAAGATTTAAACTTATTACTACCTTTTCAACCGTAACTTTTTCTTCTTTAGGCAACTGTATTATACTGAGCTTCACAATTTTCCTTAGCCTTATCCATGGACTGACTGAGCTGTTCTGAATTAACCTTCCCCCAAAGAGGTACAGAAATGACACTTGATATAGGAAATTCTGTTCAAAACCCAAAACTGGGTAGCTGCAAGTTTAGTAAAGCCCAGTCTCATAAAGGGAGGCATTGGGAAGCTTTTACAGGAGCTGCTTGTAGCAGTCCTGCCTGTGATATGTGGAGATGTGGAGATGGTAGCTGTACTACTTAGCTTTGACAACTCTTGAAAATCATGGAGCAAACAGTATATTTTAACTAAATGTAACAAAAAATAGCTACTACTCCTTTTATTGAATTGCACAAAACTGATACATAGAATAATAGATGTTTGTTGTCAGCTCTCTAGCAATTAGAAGTGTCATAGTCTGGTTTTTTTTGTTTATATAATTCCATATTATTTCTAAAATTTATCCTGAAAGAGCTTCTTTGAATAAGTCTGCATCCAAGTTCTACAACCCACTTCTTCCCTCCTTAAAACCATGCAATATCAAGATACACATTAAGGGATTGGAAGTTTGACCTGTGTTGTCAGCATTCCTGCTTCTGGGAATTTAAATCTAGTGTGTAAGATTACATCATTGTGTCTCATGCTTCCGACAATTTTGCATTATTATAAATGGCACACAGAGCTGAGACATACACAAATAGATGCAAAATATCTTTAGACCACACATATGCAAAAGGCAGCACAGTGACTCCTGGTGGAGGTGATGTAGTCGAAGAGCATTGTTAGGTCAATGTCTCAGGGACAGTGGCCGTAACTCCGAGGTTGCCTCTTGGCTAGTGGGAGAGTAACAGAGGAACTGGCAACTATTTTACTTTTGACATTACACATTACACAGTGTAATGTCCTTGTCCTCATGTAATTTTCCCAAACTTCTGCTGGAGTTCAAACTCCTTTAAAGAGGAAAACGAAGCTGGTGGAGCAGAACTCGTGCAGTTTAGCAATAACAAGGAGATGCAGAGGGTCTAAAGTAGAAATAGCAGCTCCTACACCTTCTTCTCCACCTGAACAATTTCTTGTGTTTAGTTACCAAATCAATCAATATGCAGTGCCTGGAGAGACTGCATCTCCTGAATTATCATAGAATTTGTTTTAATAATCTTGATTATAAGCTGAGCTCTTGTGCACCCACTGCGCACCCCTGGCTCAGGTCTGTGAACCCTTGTCTGGTGCCTGGGAGCATGAACCAAGTTATCACCAAAGCTAAGGATGCTACAGTAACACTGGAAATAATGATAAATAGCTATGTCAGTTTACCAAAAGTGATGCATTTTATTACCTGAAAATTCTTAACTGAAAACTTTTAAATTCCTGATAAATGGGTAAAATTAATAGGAAATAAGATTACTTGATAAATACAACTTGTAGAGGCTGTTTGCTTCTGTCCCTCTGTTCAAATAGAGTTGTTCTCAGACAACAGAAGTTAGGACAGACTGTAAACTGATTTTCTATATTGAATGAGGTACCCCCTTCATTGCTGTTGCAGAAGATAGAGAAAAGAATCATGTAATCATTCAGAGTTAAAGGAGGGCTTGTGTAGAGGAGTAGAAGATGTGCTGTAAACACATGGTTCACTCATTTCAAGGTAAAACTAATTTCAATTAGTAAATCAAACATAACATATATTTTTAAATAAGAACACCATGTTATGTTGGTCATAACTGTAACTAAGTACAGTGAACTATATGTATGTGAACTGTAGTAGCAGATTGTTGGCTCTGCTAACTAGAATGCCTGTGGGGAAAAAATGAAATGTACTGCACCAATTTTTTTTTCTTCCTTTTTTAAATTTTTTTTTTGAGAATTCTGTGATTTCAATGAATTTGTATATATAAAAATGCATCTTGAGTACCACATGTGTCAGGCAAATGGAACTAAAAGATATCAATTAGCTCTGTCAAGGATTGTCTTAGTTAAGGCTCAGTTCCATTCTCATAGCAAAGCACCATTTGTCTCAATCTTAAATTTTGTGGAATGAACTTCATGTGGAGCTGACTGAGCTATAGCTCTCATGCTCTCAGGTAGGAGCCTGTGTGCTCCTACCCTAGGAGGTAAATCTGTTTCGGAGGAACTGGCCAAAGCTGGAGAAAATTAATTGGAGCATTTAGAGAGGATTCAGAAAATCAGCTGTAGCCCAGCACTTGGGGAGTCAGGTGTGTAGTGGCAGAACTGGTGAACCACTACACCTTAATTAATGTAAAGAAACATGGTAGCCATGATCCACATGATGTTTCTACAGCCGAAAAGCTGCTCTCTGGTTCTAGTCCATGATGGATATTTCAGTAAATGGCAAGTTTAGAAAAGGTTAAGTCAACAACCAAAACTATTTCAATAATATGAATGTATTTTAGATAACCCTTGTTTTGAATCAGTCATTTCATAAACAAGCCAAATGTATTTAAATTCAAAAAATATCATGTGTTGAACTGGTACGCAAATACTAATTGTCTTCTTTTTTTCCTATACTATTTCCCTTTAAGAAATGAGGACAACAGAATTATAATCTCCTTATGGAAAATAGGCTACTTTACTTGATACATGCATTAGTAAGCAAAATAAAGATCTATCAAAAGAAGTGATTTGGTTTTAAAAAAATAGCAATACTGATACAATTAAAAGGCAAGGGCTTTGTCCTTCAGCAAATTTTTGGCATCTAGGTAGAACCTAATTGCAAAAGTACAGACTTGGAAAGTATCTCTGCAGATGGAAGGCAGCAATTTTTAGAGCAACATTGTGCATGACAGGTTATCACATACACATTCACAAATCGTTTGGATGGAGTTTTGGGAAGTCAAATTGTAAAGACCTTTAATTTTTAACCTTATTACTGGAATTACAGCAACAGTTACTTTAATTAGTTTCTCAGAAATGTTGTAGTAAGTGCTTCTGAGTAAAATGCTGGCTTCGCATCTCTGATGCCACGTTGGTCACAGCTGCTCCTGCTCAAAGGGGAATGGGTTTTCAGTACTTAGGGGATTAATAAAGGAAGACAAACCATCCTAGTTAATTAGCCCTGACATGTAAACTTCCTGAGAGCATGCTGATGATAATATGAAAGTCATTAGAAGGTGCAGAGATGCAATGCAAAGCAAAAGTTGTGGGATCACTCAGTATTGATTGCAATATGGTCTCTGTACTGTTTTTTCAGTAAGGAGAGCAATATGGAGGGGCACAGCAACATTGCAAAAGTTGATGGGCTCTTTTTGGGCCATTTAACAGAACAAAATGCTTTTCAGCTGATAAAGTTATTATGACTACAAGTAGAACAAAGCATTTCCAGTGAGCTTAAGTATTAGCTGGATTTTAGTTCACAAGAATATTTACTTAGTATTTAATGCACATAAAGTAAGTTCCAAACTTAAGTGACAGAGGTGCCATGTCATGCCTGTGTGTTTGCTAAATACCTCTAGAAGCCTTGAGAGATTTTTTTTTTTCCCAAGAGAACTCTTTAAGACCCCTAAGTCAGAGATTAAGTAGATATTAGTACCCCTTTGCACAGGTGTGAGTGCAAGTATTACTAAAACCTGCAGTATTACACCTACTGTAGCTGAATGCTGTTCAGTCACTGCAATTTACCATGCTTGAATTACTCCTTAGCTTTCTCCTGGGGGATTAATATCTGTTACAGCCACATCCTGATTTCCTGTGCAAAGTGCTTTTGGGATAACAACTCCCTGTCATCCTTCATAGCAAAGAACAGATCAAAGGCAGTTCCTCTTGACATGCATCCACTTGTATGCTATTCCATCAACACTGTAGTGTTCGCTGTCACTCAGTGCTCCATCCTGTTCCAGAAGCTAAGGAACTTAATAATAGTATAGACATTGTCTGCCAAAATACTGTGAAGAAATATGAATTTTCTAAGCTTTTAAATGCCTGTTCTTCTGCAGTTTTTTTCAAAATAATTCCCCTCATCACACCACACTCTGCAGTTTTACTTTGTAATTTTTTTTATTTTTCAGTGTCCTTGGGCTTCTCTCCAAATCTTTATTAAAAGCTTTCTCTATAAAAACTTTTTGTAGCCAAAAATTTCCAGGGTTTCATGACTCATGTCTGCAAGTGCTTTGTTAGGCTTTCAGGGACACTTTATGAGGACTACAATTCACTTAGAAAACCAAACAGTATGTTTTTCTCTGCATTTCCTCATTGTTTAATTTTTCAAAAGCTGCCATAGATCCACAAAGAGACAAGAGAGGAAGGAATCCTTTTCAAAAGGGTGCAAATTTCACCTTCCAGTCAAGACCACAACCTGGTTCATTAGGCTACTTCTCTATGCAGGAGTGCTCAGGAAAGCTGGCAGTGACACTGCTCTTTGGCCGAGTTGCTGGCTTAGGTCTTAGAAAGGGCAGGTAACATACCTCTCCTGGCTAAACTGGACTTGTCCTGACCTCTAGGGACTTTGGGATGAGTGTGGGGCATGAGGCATGCAATCACTTTCAGGAGGGAAAGAAACCTGCTCAGAGGCAGGACTTCAGAGGCATCTTTTTAAATATAAGTAAATGTTTAAGATCACAGCTTTACTGCTTTGT